TCAGTCAAGACCAACTGTACGGTTAACACTACAACCATTCACGATGGGTTGTTCATTTTCATCTAGGTTGTGAACCACAATTCTTATTTCAGAAGAACTTGAAGAATGATCTTCTGTTCGCCCGCTAACGACCCATTCTATCTAAGTGCAAAACAACAGAACATATACTTGTTCAATTAAACATGATTCTCATTCAAATTGGTTCAATGTAAATACATCTAAATCGAAGCTTTCAGTATATACACCAACAACGCTTTGGCTTACTGCTACACCAGGGGCAACAAGCCCTGACCATCTCTTCCCCCAAGCCACCATGCGACTAGATCGGGCCTCCCACCCGCTCAGGGGGACCCAAAGGGGAAAGGTAAGGCCCTTGCCTGACTGCTTGAATCCCCGAAGGGACAAAAGGACAAGAGTAAGGCCCCTATTGAGTCCACCTCTCAAGTCGGGAAGGCTTCCCAGCCAGAACGTCCCAATGTAGTGGCTTTGGACGGTCCAAAATCTAAAGCCACGTGCTCCAGTTATATCATATTCCCCTAACCTTCACAGATACTTTCTTTGAGCTTCTGAGTTTTTTCAGAGTACATACGATAAACACGTGGGATTCCTTATTCCTTGTATGATCCTTTGGGCCACCTGGACAGAAAGGAATAATGCTAAGCATAGGGATAACTATTTTTTGTGTTCTCATATTATTTTGCAGGTTGACCGACATCTCTCCCTCCTTACTGCTTTGGGCAGACTCACCCAAAGAAACTGGACAGGCTGCGCGCCACCTCACCGCCTTGTACCATCTCTGCTGCCGCATGTCCAACATCCACGACCCAGAGCTATTGTTTGGCTGGAACCCGAGTTTCTTTGGGTTAAGCTAAACACTGACGGAGCCTTTGACTGACTTACTGGAGCCGCCGGAGGTGAGGGCCTTATTGGGGATCACAGCGGTGCCCTTTTTACCACTTTCCATGTCCTTTTTTGGGCCTCCTCGAACTATAACGCAGAGATTTAGGTGCTTCAGATCGTCTTCAGATTGCTGCCTCGATCTCCTCTCGTATTTGGATTGAGTTGGATGTCCCTGTTGTCATCACATTCTTGACCTCTGGCCATCAGGGCACTTAGCAAATTCAACATCCACTCATGCAGATTATAGCCATACTTCGGTTGATTCGCTATCGGATCTCACACACTTTCCACGAGGAGAACCGGCTTGCTGATTCAATTGCTTGCATCGAGACCTCCTCTCTCCAGAGATGTATTTTTCAGCCTGACGATATTCTTCTCCGCCTCCGTACCCTTATACAGATGGACCAGATGGGATACCCATTGTTTAGATTTGACTAGTCGGTCCCTATCTTTTGGTGCTTCTGAGCCCTCGTGATGTTGACTCTTCGCCTGGACTTCTCTCGGACCAAGATCAGATTTTTGGTGTTATTTGATGCTGTTTTTTTCCTTTTCTTGTTTCTTTTTCTTATCGTTTATTTGGACTGTTGTTTGTTTTTAGACATTGGATGATAGATTTTTGACTTTTCAACCCATTTAGGGCCTTGTTATATATACGTTAGGGTTCGGCCTAAACCCCCATCTTCGAGGTGTTAGTAAAAAAAAAAGTTGTAATGAAAAAAAAGTTCCTATATCTCTTGAAACAACTGAACTGAGTAAGGAAATCATTTGCTCTCGCTTCTAAACCCTCGCCCCCAAATCTTCAGCCCTCGCTTCCTCTGATTTTCAGTCGTCGGCCAGAGTTGCCATCGAGCTTCGCCGGCGGTCACCGACCCTTGATCGTTTGGTTCCTGCCTGTAATATCCCGTCAGATTATTAAAATAAATTATGTTTTTAGTTCCGATATAATAATATTTTCGAGTATTATTTTCGGAACTAATTAGTTTCAGTCGAAATTACCTGAAATTATTTTTGACGTTCCGTTTACATTCGGAATAATTTTGGTAATTAAGTATCATGTTTAGTAATTAATTAAATATATAGATTATGTTTAATTAATTACTAATCATGTTTAACCTAGTAATTGTCGTGAGTAATTAAGGTATTCGGGAAAAATTGTTCCATTTTTTTTCCAAATGCCGTGGGCATTTTGTGAGTAAATGGGGAGAATTTCTTTAAAAATTTTGTAGCATGATGTGTCCATCCCTTATTTCATTATTGATGACTAAGCATATTTTAAGGGGTGAGTTAGCATTTCAAGCTTTAATTAAGTGGCAAGTGTCTCAAAATTATTAGACCAACAAAGCACCACGTTATCCCTAATTTTTTTCCAATCGATTTTAGTATAAGAAGGGGAAATTGGGAAAATTTTTGCCCACATTTCCTTGCAGCACATTCATAGTACTTTTCTATAGAGAGAGCTAGTGAGATTTGTGATTAGTTACTTAGTACCGTATTGCTTAGCCGCACGCAAGCTCCACCTTTCCCCTTATGTGTTCGGCAATTGTATATATAGCATAGAAGTGGGAAGAAATTCAGCCTTTTCTCCTTATTTATGTTAGTATATTGTGAGGATTAGAGAGAAGGTTTACCTTAGTGAGTATCATCGTACGCATAGCAAGAAGCCGCACCGCACCGCGCCGAGTAACGCCGCACGCACGTTAGCTTCGAGTAATCATGAGTGTCTTGTGCGATTAAGCAAGAAGGGAGAAAGGTAACCTCGGTTTATTCTTGCTTGAGGTTGCTAAGGTCATGTTATATTAATGTTATGTTCAAGCCACGTTCATGAGTTGTCCATTTAATGCTTCGGCCGTGCGTGTGGCCTATGTCGAGCGTATTCATGTTTGAATCAAAATCTTTCGAACAATTTCATGTACTTAGTCATGTCATGCTATATCATGTTCAGTTAGCATGTGTTGTTCGAAGGATTTTTACGTTTAAGTGTTGTTTTGGCCGAGGGGCGTGGTCGCGCATGTGGCGCGTACCACGGGCCGCGCATGGCTAACGTTTATGTTAAGTGTTAAACCTTCGAGCATTTCATGTCAATTTAGTTAGCAAACAATATGTCATGTTCAGTGGTGAATTAATTGCCGAGAGAAAAGATCAAGTTCGGTCGTGAAACGGCTTAACGCTGTCGGCGGCACATGGTGTGCACGCCATGGCCATGTTCAGTTTTATGTGCAAATTCATGTTTTTAAGTAAATCCAGTATTTATGTTCATGTCATGTGAACTTATGTCATTTGAAGTTAAATTGCTCGAGAGATGTTGCCGGACGGCCGGCAAGGGCCGGTCGTAGCCGCGCTGCCCGCACGCAGCGGCAGCATCG